TTTATTCCAGCGGGCTTACGGAATAACAGAAATGAAGTGAATGAATCCGCGTATTGTCGGACAAAATTTTAGCTTTCATTGGTAGGTAAATTGAGAATGTACGCGGCGCGTTTTGATTTCGTGAAGTTATATTTTCTGCAATAATGAAAAATATTTAACTGTCGATCATAATTTTTAAGTTAAACGTAACAATAATTTGCGCGCTCGTATCATGAATGTTCATTAATGTAAAGGAAATATCGCGCACTCTCAGGCGCCGTATTTCGAATAGTTAATTGTATCCTCGCGCATGTGATATCCGGACGCATTTTGATAAAATTCTGACAAACGGGAGATAAGCGGTTCAAGCGGCACGTACAAATAAACGCACTGAGAGTGAAATTTGAATTGCTACTCTCCGCAGACATCGCCTCCGCTGCCAGTTAAAACTATAAATTTAATTATTTATAATGTCCGCGCGAGAGCTAACGGAATTTGAATACGAAATTATGCGCATATATCTTAGATACCTCGGTACGCTCGAGTCACTGAGGCGCTTTATATATATAAAAAAAAAGGAGAATCCTCTTCTCCGGAAAATTAGTGCACTCTCGTGCGGCTCTCTCTCTCTCTCTCTCTCTCTCTCTCTCTCTCTCTCTCTCTCTCTCTCTCTCTCTCCTGTTAATGCTCTCTCTTGCGCGCTTCCGTTTTTTAAAACTACCTTAACAGTACTCAGTGCTGTTGATAATCTCCTCCAGTTTTAATTAATCCACTTGTGCAAAATACAGACAAGAAGTGCATTTCGACGAGATTGGCGAGCGTGCGCGAAATCCGAAGAACGCATAACAAGTTTATCATATTTTCATGCTTTCCATACTCTTTCGACAAATGATCCTACATGTTTTATACATTCTAAATGATTCTACATGTTTTCGATATGCGCGTGATCATTATTACGCGTTGAATAATTTCACGACGGCGTAACAATTTCATTGTTTCGTCAAGTATAATTCGCCTCGTTGATTTACCTTTGAAACGCGAAGAAATCAAAGGAAATGTACATGAGATTAGTGTCCGATAATATTCGCCTCGTACAAAATAGGCAAATATAAAATATGAAACTGTCGCGTAAATATTTACGTTGGAGTGAATAATCCCTACGTAGCATTTGATGAAATGCAATTCTGTATTAATCAAGGTATTAATCAATACAGTTGCTTTGTATTCATCGAATATCATTAGTAAATATGCCATGTTTGACTGTACTGAGCGCATAACATATAAATATTTAACACGTGACGAACAACTGAGCGTGATAAAATTTTCCCGCTCAAACAGTACGTTCGATTTAATTTTTTTATCTGTGTTTTAGCTGAACTTTCAAAAAATTACAACTATTGACAAGGCAGTCGGTTGTTATTGTTGTACTACACCGAAATGCACCTCGTTCAAATTTAATTATGTATTTCCGTTATGAAGATAAATAAGCATTGAAGCAACGAACCGGGAGTTTGCGAAAGCAACGCAAAATTGCAAAATCGCACAAATCATTAATGTGCCGTACGCTTATGCTAATCACAAACCACATATCTTTGCAGTATCGATTAACGCTTACGTACGTGTACTTAGGCGATGTGAAAGCGGTCGACCAGCAAAAACGAATGGGCTGCGAACGCCAAGTTAACAATCGATCTCTCTGGAGAACAAGACTGACAGCACGTCATTCCGCTAAGTACAGGCTAACAATTTCTGAGTATAGTTCTCCGTCGAGAATTCGTGACGTCTCTCTGAAGTGCGGGGAATTAATAACGCTAAATGGTAGAAATCAGAATGATGTTGCACTTCAATTTTGTATCCTTTCACGGAGAAAGTTGCAATAAAAAAATCGCGAGCATCAATTATTTCATGTAAAAAAATTGGCCAAGGATAAATTTTTTAATAGCCACAATGAGAGGCCCCTAAATCGATAATGCGACCGATAATGGTTTCCGATGCGTCTGAAGCAAATACATGAACACATCAAACATAAATGGACTCTGCTGAATTTATATGAAAGCATACTCTGCGCTATGCGCGTCGTTCTAATCGCCAGCGACGTAAAAGACAGTATTTTATTTTTGCGGTGCCCAGGTGCGGACTTGAAAAGAAATGTACGCGGTACTTGTGCCGAAACATTTTACATCACTACTCATGGCGATGTGTGACGGTATGTGGTAGTCTAGTGTGCTTCTGCCTCGTTGTCGAGACGTCTTGGCTTGCCCGGCATGTTGCAGGCGCTCTCTCTTCGTCGCTGCTCTCCGTTTATCAGCGGTGGCAGCGGCGGCCTGCATCGTACGGCGGATTGAATGAACGAATTAAACTTTCATTGTACCGATGCGCTCTCCACGAGGGACACGTCCCTCTTCGCGGTCCATTCCTCTCTCTCTCGCGTCTTATTGTCTTGATTCGCACGCTTCTCTAACTCTCTCCTCCTTCGTTGTTCCTGCCGTTTCTCTTTCTCCCTCCTCATTTCAGTTATTGCTTACACTTTGCGCGCTCATCTCTCTGCGAACCCACTTCATTGTTTCAACATTTTCCCGCGTTTTTATCCTTGTTGGTATTATGCTCCGCGTATCGTAAAATTGCCGATTTAATGATTACAACGACCGTTCTTGTACCGGCATGAGATATTTTTTATTGTACCCCTTGATTGCACAATTACGCCAGTTAAATGTACAAGATTATTCGATGCATTTTATATATGTAATATTATTTTATATTTATGTATAAAAAAAGAATTTTATGCATTTATAAATAGCAGGAAAATATAAATACAAAAACACAATTGTAAAGGTTTAAATTCATAAATATTTACTTTTAAAATAAATTAAGTAAATAATAAACAAAATGAATGAAATAAATATTAATAAATTGATAAAATAGTGATAAGAAAAGAGGATCAAGAGCCGACGTTGGATGTAAGTGTTTCTTAAATCTTTCTTATTTAAAGAATTGAGTAAACGTTTCTGTCGTCAATCCGACTATCTTCAATACAAAATCTGGAATTCGAAGAATTGTGAGTGTTTTATAAAACAAAACTTTGGAAGTCGTCCTCTAATGTAACTGTCATTTTATACGAGACAGAAAAATTGTGAAGAGTAAGTGAGCTACTTACTATGTAACTCACTTACTGTGTAGCTCACAATCTTTTAAACAAACTACTAGTCAAAGATTACACATATCTTCACACATTTTTCTCTCTCGTATGACAGTTACATTAAAGGACAACTTCCACCGTTTTGTTTTATGAGACTCTCACACTTCTTCGAATTCCAGATTTTGTACTGAAGATGGTCGGATTGACGACAGAAACGTTTACTCAACTCTTTTAAATAAAGAGGATTTAAGAAGCACTTACATCCAGCGTCGGCTCTTGATCCTTTTCTCTTATCACTATTTTATTAATTAGTGTGAGCCTTTAAACAATTCTTATTAATAAATTGATTTAGATCGAGTATTTAATATTTTTATTTTTTTATAATAATATTGTTATATATTTTATAAAATTCATTTAAATTATATAAAGTAAAATATGTTTTTCTATACGTTTGACTTGTAATCATTTTTAATCTCCAACATAATTTTTTTTCTTCTTAATAAGTTTAGAATCTATTACATATCTTCAAAAAATGTATAGATATTTGATATGTGAATTACTTTTTCTTCTTTTTATTCTTCATATAGTTTCTACATTGTCTGTATTTCTACTCTTACAGATGCAACGCGTAACAAGACATATTGAGATATTAAGGTATCAAGCAATTAAAAGCCCCATCTCGCCGGATGAAGGTTCTCGATTTGGCAATTGTAGCTTTACGAGCAAGATTCGAGATATAAGACATTTAGTGCGGTCGATGTGGTCTTGATAGCGTCGTTGAAAGCTCGGAGAGGAAGTTTCGTCGAGGTAACCGAAGTTCGAAACACTTCCGATTTTTGAAAATAATATTCGTGAAATTCTGATCTTATGTTTAATTTCTTCCTCCCTACATTCTTTTGCTTCTGTTAAGTAGAGAATTCTATAATAAATTTGCATTTATATTTTAAAATTTGTTATTTCTATTTGTTTATTGTTTCATTATTGATCTTTGACTGATATTGTGATAAATTTACGGAGAAATATCGCACAAAGCAAAACATTTTTATCATTTTGATCATATTTTGCAATTGTATATTATGCAGCTTATGAAGAATTTTTCTGTAAAAAATTTAAAATTTAATTTCTTTTTTTAATATTAAAAAATGCAAAAAAATGGCATAAAAATAATATTTTCTGCTTTGTTTGACAATCTTTGTTTTTGTTTGTAACGTAAAATGTGTACTTTACAAGAAACAATTTCTATATTTAAACTATAAATATTATCTTAAAACTACCGTATTTTTCAGATTAAATGCGACAACTCTTTAGCAGATTTACATTTTAAGTGGCACAAATTACGCGCTAGTTAGGTTCAAAACGTCTGTAAGACAATCTGTAAGACTATCTCATAAATATTTATGCCTTTTATTTATATTTGGCGATTCGCTATAGCGATGTCTTTATCGCGCTATAGGAATCTACAAGACAATCATTGTCCCGCGGCAAACGGAGGAATAACAGCTTAGCTATCCCATATTGTCTTCGTTTTCAGATTCCCTCGTGATCCTCCGCGGTTGTGTCCGTCGCTCTTTCGCCCTCCGTCGTTATCCCCCGTTATCCCCTCCTATCGCTCTCTCTCTCTCTC